GGGGGCGCATTTTTGTTACACCTAATAGACTATGTATAAGTTTAAAAAATGGCTCCGTGAAGTAAAAAAGTTTGATTTCTTTCTTTAGCAAGTATAGAGAAAATTTGCAACTGTTATGATTTCTACCAACAAAATTGCACTTGAAATGAATATCGAACCCGAATTTCGTAGGAAACATATGATATATATATAGGAAGTAGAAATTTGATGAGGATGTTGATAATAAAATCTCAAAATCTTTCAAAAAGTCCTTTAGAGTTGATTACTTTATACATAATAGACAAGACTATTTTTTTCATTTCAAAATAGATTTGAACAATTCGAAACATATGAAAATATTTTTGATTTTCTATTTCGTGGTAAAAATTAAAATTATTAGATGATGAAAATTTTGAAAAAATATTGCGTTAATCTTGAATGTTCGTTAAAGCATAATAATCAATTTGATATTGTTGGTTTAGATTATTTCGGAAATAAAAATATTAAGAAAAATAGTATAATTAGAAGTGACAGTTTAATTGAGATACCCAGTCAAATAAAAAAATTTGATTCTTTTTTCAATGCATATATTATTTATGGAATAATATTAATAACTCTTGTTTCCGTCGTTTTAATGGAAAGAAATTTTCAAAATTAAAATTGATAAAATCTCACCTAAGATCAACAATGTCTAAATAAAGATTAAATGGATTAGTTGTTGTTGATTAAGAAAAACTTATTAGGAGTTATTGATTATAAGAAAATTATTAATAACTTTGTATCTAAGAAACGCTAGAAAAATAGACTTCAAATAAATATAATTTTTTTAAAAAAAGTTAAGGCCTCTCATAAAATTTGGCTTTAGGCTACAAAACTCGTCAGGCTGCCCCTGCTTTTGAGAGTCATTACCCCCTGGACGCTGATGTGGCAAAGAATGTGGGTGCACTTGCCTTCCATGTGGATTTTTCCTGTATATGTGGCATTTTTTTGAAAAATAAAATATTGTGGTAACCCTAAAGGTCATCACTTGATTTAAAAGTCAATTCTGTGTTTCGATGCCTTAAAAATACCTTTTTATCTTAGCTCGATTTGCGTGCACAGTCTGGGCGTATATCCGAAATGCTTTTATGTGAAAATTTGAGGAAAATACTAATTTTGCTTTTAAAATTGAATTTAAGTTGACTTCGGTCAACATTTCGGGTAAACAGACCTGGACCCGTAATTTGACGGTCCTGCAGGGTCCGTAGAAAAATATGGGACTTGGGCGTATGCCCGGAATTGAATTCCGAGGTTCCAAGCCCGAGAAATAAATTTTTGAAGAAAATTGTTTTACTGAAATTATATGAGCTTTTGAAAATTTAAAGATATTTGAATTTGATGGTATCGGGCTTGTATTTTGGTTTCGGAGCCCGGTACAGGTCTAATATGGTATTTAAGTTGTGCCTGTAAAATTTGGTAAGAAACGGAATTCATATGAAGTGAATCAGACCCTTAGTTATGAAATTTGAAACTTAAAAGTTCTTGAGGTTTTCTTTGATTTTGATGCTAAACTCGTAGTTCAAGGTGTTATTTTGGAGATTTGATCACACGAGTAAGACCGTATGATATTTTTAGGGTTGTGTGCATGTTTGGTTTGGAGTCCCGAGGGCTCGGGTGAGTTTCGGATAGGCTTCGGGGTGTTTTTGACTTAGAAAAATATGGTATAGCTATTGTATATGGTGTCTGATCGTGATCGTGTAGTCACTCTCGTGATCGCGAAAGGGAAACAGGGCTGGGGTGGATTTCACCCCACGCGAACGCGAGACCAAGGTCGCGAACGCGGAGCATTGGGGGGACTGATCTACGCGAACGCGACCGGTCAACCGCGAACGCGTAGCTTTAGGATGGGCTGGTCAGGGAACCTAGGGAAAACTATGCGAATGCGACCCCTTTATCACGAACGCGAAGGCAGGGGTGGGCTGAGCCTTCGCGAACGCGTAGCTTTTCCCACGATCGCGTAAGTCCCCAGATGGCAGCTCTTCGCGAACGCGACAGTGCTCATGCGAATGAGATGAACACTGTCGCCTAACACTTAAAACAGAACCAGAACAGGAATTTAGCCATATTTTCATATCTTCTTCCCTAAAATCAGACCTTGGGCGATTTTTGAAGGGGGATTTCACCACCAAACTATATGTATATGTTCTTAGACTCATTTCTTTAATTTTTCATCAACACCCCTTAGATTTTTATGCATAAATCTTGTTCTTTAAGGGTAGAAATTAGGGATTTTAAGAGAATTGAGAATTTTACAAATTTGGGAATTTAGACCTCGATTTGGGATTGGATTCCGAAACTAATTGCATATTTGGGCTTATGGAATGAGTATTCAGGTTTTGGTCCGAACCTCGAGTTTTGACCAAGCGGGCCCGGGGTCGATTTTTGAGTTTTTGGGAAAAATATTGGGAAAGCTATAATTAAGAATTGGGTATGAATTCTTTAGCATTTGTAGCTGATAATAAGTTAATATTGGCTAGATACAATTGAATTGGAAGTGGAATCAAAAGGAAAAACGATATTTGAGGCTTGAGTTTGGCCGTGGATGTTCGAGGTAAGTGTTTGGTCTAACCTTAGCTTGAGGGAATAGGTGTTATGCCTTATTTGCTATGTGTTAGTGTAGTGTACGACGCATAGATGTAGTGACGAGTATCTATATGTTGGTGTCAATCATGCTCGTGAGTCTTAAATTGTGATTCTTAATAAGTACTACAAATGCCTAAATTGTTGATTATCCATATTGAGCAAGACTTATGA